GTGCAAGAATAAAGCATTTACTGAATGAATTTACGGAATGAAATTAATCTGAGATTTTATGGTTTGCTGAGTAGACGCGTGTAACCTTAAGTTCATACGTGGGACTGTTGTTTAGCCAAGCGGCAACTCCAAGACTACTGCTAGCGTAATGCTATGGATACCAACAAAACAGAAAATGCTAGCATAGTGCTTGAGGATACAACGTTGGATAGGGATAACTCTACGTCTGCCGACAAGTCGAGTGCCCTATCAGAAACCGAACTAGCAGCTATCAAAAACATGAGTTTATTTTTACCAGACTTGACAGTATATAGAATGTGAGAAAAGATCTTACTGTGCAGAGCAAGTTACACAGGGGGAAACTAGGCTCTCAACTACTGAAGGCAACATCACCAAGCTCCAAGCTAAAGGACAACAACTGGAAGGTCAAAGTAAAGATTTGTATGGCGGTGTTATTTAAGCAAAACAGCTGAGCAACTGTGACAGTGGAAATTATAGTTGTAGTAGAAAATTATTACACATAGCCTATATTAGAAATTTATATTAAAAATATTGCTCCAATAATACATTTTATAGATATGGAGAGAAAATACTGGACCTTGAAGCAAGATCAAAGAGCTCCTTCTAAAGGTTTGTGAGGTAGCAGAGGGCGAGACGTGCACCTTTCTAGAGAGCTGCATACCAGAGATGCTGGAGCTGTGCCCTCTCTATTGGTCCAAGAACTTAAACTATATAGATAGCAGAGAACAAAATTACAGGAAGTTGAGTTAGTTACATGCATTAAAGGTATAACAATGCATACAAACAAAGAAGAAGATGAGGAGAGAGGCACTCAGTGCATCATGGGAAGTCTCCTGGTAGTCTGGTCTATAGCAGCATAACTGAAAAATGGTTCAGGGCTAAACTGTTAATTTGCTCTTGCTGTATTTTGAATGTTTTACTTTTGTTTGATTTGATGAATGTGTGTATCAGTGCTATAGGGCCCTTCTCTTCTCAATTTACACCACCTCACCAGGGCCAATCATTTGCTTGCATGGCTTCTTTCACCCCTGCTATGCAGATGATACACAACTCTACCTATCCTTCCTGCCAGACGATTCCACTGTCTCTGCGCGGATCACAGACTGTCTCTTGGACATATCTGCATGGATGAAGGCTTCCCACCTTCAACTCAACCTTTCTAAGACTGAACTCTTGGTCATTCCTGCCATTCAATCTATCCACCATGATATCAAACTACAAATTGACTTCGCAACCATCACTCCAACCAGGGTGGTGAGAAACTTGGGTGTCATGATTGATGACCAGCTGTCCTTTTCAGACCATGTTGCTGCTGTCTCTCAGTTGTGCTGCTTTGCTCTATACAACATCAGAAAATCAGGCTCTACCTTACTCAGTAAGCCACCCAGCTTCTGGTACAGGCCATGGTTATCTCTCACCTATACTCTGCAATTCCCTCCTAGTAGGTCTTCCAGCTTGTGCGGTGAAACCCCTGCAAATGGGTTAGAACACAGCAGCTCGTCTGGTTTTTGATCAGCCCAAAAGGACTCATGTCACTCCATTACTCAGTTACCTCCACTAGCTACCCCTGGCCTCCCAAATCAAATTCAAGTCACTAATGCTTGCATACAGAGTGACTACTTGGTCTGCACCCATCTACCTAAACTCCATAATACAAGCTTATGTTCCTTCTCGACCACTGCGGTCCTCCAATGAACGCCGCCTGGCTCTGCCACAAAGCAATCTCATTCCCAGCTGTTCTCATCTTTGACACCACGATGGTGGAACGAGCTACCACATGCCATCAGAGCAGGGTTGTCCCTCTCTAAATTCAAGAAGCTCTTGAAATCTCATCTGTTTGGAGAACACTTTCTCTTATAACACCTAACCCCTAACGTGCACTTTCTGTTGCTTTGTACTGCATCTGCCAAATAAGTGTGTTTTTATTTTTTACATTCAAATTAAAAAAAATATTAAAAATAATCCAACAGTTGCACATACTTTGTTTATGTTAAACCACATTGTTTCTCTCCTTTATTTTCAGCTGTCAGTCTCTGCAGTGGACTGGCGTGTGGATAGCCAATGCAATACTAACTTCTATGACCATGCATACTCCTCTGTTAGGTATTGTATTATATAGCATTGTATCACTGAAAGAGTCATCAATCAGCCATTTTCATGGTTTAAGCATGTCATTACAGTTCCTTAACACGGGCCAGTAAATACTTGTGAATAGGTTCATTCTTTACTGAAGCAAAAAGCAACCATATGATTTTGTCACTGATATTTTGCAATATCTCCAAAGTCACAGACTTGAGCGCTCGTTATTTCATCTAAATCTGGCATAAGAGTGAAGTTTAAATGTTGTTGTGTACCTGTTAGCAATGCAAGAACATATGATTTAATTTTGATGTGACAGCTGGAATTTCTCGGCACTATGTTGTTGCTTCTCAAATTCAGCTCCCCATTTTATTGTTATTGTCTACGGACAAGATTTTAAGTCAGAGTCACATCGCATCATATTGTTTCCTTATCATTCATGTGGGCAATTTTACAAATGCAGCCTAAAATGTACTAGCACACACAATACTCTAAATACTAAAAATAGGTGCCATTCCCCAAGAATTTTAGCTTTTGATTCATGTAACCACTGTCTTCCTAATCTTAAATAGTCTTTATTAATTATATTAATTACAGCTGAATTCCATTGTTATGTTGTGATCATTTGTAAATACAAACTTCAAATACTAATTTTCCTGTAAATTGTTTCCACAGCTCACTGATTGATTCTTACACCAACAACCGTAGGAGTGAATGGAAGGTAGGAAACATCTCACAGCTGTTGCTGACATAAATGAACATTTTACAGTTTTATTATTACTTTGTTGCGTATATGTGTGATTATTTAGATTATTTTACCACTGGATTTCCACCTTTTCCTTATTATTTTGATGAAACACAGTAACTAAACACCTCTGTACCAAATTTGACAAAAGGTTCACATTAAAAGGGCGGATGATTAGATTTTGCAGCACCTTGCTGCCTAAATAAGATACACATGATTTTTATGGCTCATTAAATGTGTTTTGAATCTATAGTTAATAAAATGTAAGTTAAAGAACGTGCATATTCAAACCAATTCCAACCAGGCAGCTCATGAGCTCATATATGTTTTTTTATCAGTTTGGCTTAAATATAAATAGGTTTGTGTCGAGCGGCCTGGATGTGGGAGGAACACGGTCCAACGTGTATACGTTTGCTTCAGAAAAGCGCAGACAGGACCGCTTCTTTTTCAGCAGTCACAGTGTCACCTGCCGCCGTTATCGGTAGGGTGTACCACTGCATTCATTCAAGTTTAAGACAATTCCTATTAAGATAATACTATCATTATAATACTACTAAAATACTATTCTGTCTCTTTGTGTCTAGTTACCGTGTGTCCAAAAGACCGCCCCTCAGCTTTGAGTTCAGTAAGGATTTGGCCAGACTGCCAAGTGAATACAGCTCCTCCACCAGGGATGAGTACATGGACCTCATACATACCTATGGCACACACTACCTTCGCAAGGTTGTAACACACACATTTTAATTTCCCTTTTTCACAAATTAAAAACACCTATTTTCCCAACACATTCTCACTCCTGACTCACTCTCATATATTGACACTTAGTCAGGTACCTTTGGCGTCTCCCTGGGTACCCCTTTAGTGTCATTTTAGACGTTAATGGCTCCGCAGTAAAGTTAGCAACGCGTAGCAACAACAAATATGCAACATCCAGAAAAGTTAGCAATAATAAATATGCAACAAAGCTACGTCCCACCTTCTCTGTCCTGTACGCGCGCTGTCCTGCTACGTGGTGCGCACAGCCGCCATGAGGGGACGAGGGGCGTGGCGTGAGCACGGTGCTTGGTGTAGAGCTATGGAACGCTAAAAGGCTCACAATACGCCACTTTCCTACCCCGTTTTGTTAACTAAACAAACGGCGTAAAAAACGGCTATAATCATCAATCAATAGATGTTACAAGCTATAACCTAGAGTAGCTAAATATTTTTAGTAAATGTAGTCAATATACTTTATCAGTCTGGGACTTTTGTGTTGAGTTTTTCATGCTAGTCTGTGGTTACTTTATGCCTTTGGGTGGCTACGATCACAGTAAAGTAGATCAGTGCTGAATTAGTGTGATCTGTTCTTCTTCTGTACTGATTGGGTGACAACAGTTCAAATTTAGTGGCTGTAAAATCCACAGGGCGGAGCTCATTATCATTTTACAAAAGGCGTCTTGTAACTCGTTATGATGCGCATCATTGGGGACACTGAGCCCCGTAAAAAGCGGCGTTACATGAGCACATAGAGCGCCGGTTTTTTTTCGCCGCCTCCAGACCGACGAAAAATGCGTTGTTGTTTACACGAATTCCACTGCGCTTTTTAAGGCGTTTTGCTTTTTGGCGGCGTAAAAAGCGGCGTCCTGGCCGTTGAAACGGCGCTTTTTAAGCTGTTTTTTTAACAAAACGAGGTAGGAAATTGGCGTATTGTGAGCCTTTTAGCGTTCCATATTGGTCAAAGTATTATCACACTAGAAGGCGGGATTTAAAGAAAAACACGATAAACAAGTAATGGCGCAGCAGAAGCAGCAGGTAGGTAATCACAGCTCAGTGCAGCAAAGAACGTACACTTATATACTTAAATTAAATACTTAAAATATAAAATATAAATATAATTTCAGTTTTTAAATTGACAAACATCAACAGCCCTAACGCGCCGTACCCGGAGTCAGTAACTTTGTGACGTCATGTAACTTCCTGATTAACCTGTACTACAAAAGGTGGATGGGAGTTACCCAAGGTCGGTTGCCATGGCAATTAACGCTGCATCTCTAAATTGCTCCGAGCAGGTTATGTTCATGGTTAACTCGAGGTTACCCTGTATATGTGGACTACACACCACATCTGTACTTATTGTTAATGAGATAAAGTAAAGTTGAATATTAATAACCTATTTCATTTCAGCTGCCACTCAAGTGGAACAAGTTAGGATGAAATCTAAAAATATTTTATGAGGTAGCCTATGTATTAATACTCATCATCATTATCACTGAGTGCAGATGTGGTGTTGTTGCTGGCGCAGTGGATAAGACACGTAAGAGACCCGGGTTCAATTCCACTGTGTCACTGACCAAGATACTTAACCCCTAGTTGCTCCAGTAGCGTGCAACCTCTGATTCATAGCAATTGTAAGTTGTATAAAAAATTATGGCATGTAGCCCACCATAACTATGACGCTTTAGGGATGCCCAATGCATTACAAACTGACGCAGATGGGTCTTGACCAATGCATCTATATGTGACGAGTCAGGGAGTGAGAATGGGTTAATTTTCCAACACCATTGTACTTTATTTTAGGTTCACCTTGGAGGGCAAATCAAGCGAGTCACAGCTACACATACCTGTTTGTCCTCATTGAATGGGCTCACCGCAGATGAGGTATATGTAGCACACTGCCTGTGCAATTACAGCGTACACAATAACCAAAATGCATATTTGTAAACACACAAACAAACAGACACAAATGTAATCACACAGTTATTCAGAATTTTGGCCGAAATGAAAATATAATAGACATAACTATGTTTTCATATCATCACCTGAAAATAATAATTTTGTTTCCTTCGAATATAGTTTTTTTTTTTTTTTCACAACTCTGCCTCTGATTGGCCAGTACCCACCTCCGTTGGTAAGATCAGTTAAAGAGGTGATATTATGCTTTTGGCTTTTTCCCTCTCCTTTATTGAGTTACATTCCTTTTTATGCATGAAATCCATCAAGTCCACCCCAAAGGAGTTCCCATCTCCCACAGAAAACTCTGCTCTGGACTGTCTGTGACGACACAGGGATGAAAGCTAAACGCTCCTCATATAACACTCGCCAAGCGGCTACTCCAACACGCCCTCAAAAACACCGGTGGAAAAACACTGAGCTGCAGCAGACCTCTGCTTCTGATTGGCTAGTAGTCCTTAACTAGGAACTGTGCATGTGCAACTCCCAACAAAGATCATTTAGAGACAAGCTGTATCACTCCATAGCTAAAACGAAGCCTTCAAAGGGTGAAAAGAGGAGCTGCAGCAATGTAGTATGACAACAAATATGGTGTTTTTTGAAAATTAAACCATGTAAACCTGTTCTGGTCTAACCCATAAATAGGATTTTGAACCTGAAAATTAGCATAATACCACCTCATTAAGATTAGCGTTAGACTGGGATTAGGGCAGTGCTTTAAGTGGATAAGTCCCTGTGCTCCTCCTCATTCACATGTTTAACTTGAAAAGTTAGTAAGTCAGGTTTAAGTCAGTCAGAGACAGAGTAGGGGGCAGGAGTTGACACAAAGCCTGTATCCATCAAGTTAGAGTTGTCACAGATCTGGTGGGAAACATGTTGCACCATTATATTTCTACAGTAGCCCAGAATGGACAAACCAAACACTGACTCTAGATACGGTGTTTCACATTTTCGCAAGTTCCTGCAAATCCAGTGATTGCAGGGTTGGTGGTTACACTCCTGTCTTCTCCTAACGGCATGTTCATGTCCACACCTTTTTTGTTGTGCTGATCTATGAATTTCTGTGTGAGTGTGAGGCATTGTAATTCACCATTCACTGCTCTTGGTATAAAGGCATTGTTTAAATGCAGTCAGTTATCCATCATGTAACTAGCATCTTATTTCCTCTCCCGTCCTCTAGGTCCACTCCTGCTTATCACATGGTGTCTCTGTAGGCCTGGGGATGGTGACATTATCCGCTAGCCAACCATTTTGCAACAAAGTCCTACAGAACCAGGGCAGGAGTGACATATCCAGCTCTAGTCTCCATGAACATTACACAGAAGTTGTAGGAGGCAACGGTTGGTCTGGGGAGTTTTCACTCACTCATAATGACCAGGGGTACAGAAAATGGCTGAACACCATTACGGACCACCCGAATATTGTTTCATACCGCCTTAGGCCAATGTATGAGCTGATGCCAAATAAGACACAGAAGACAGGGATGAAAGTTGCCATAGAGGAATACTTAGAGGAAAACGCTGTGAAGCAGTCACCTAGAGAGCCAAACTGTGGATGGTACACTCCCAACCTGGATGCCAGCTGCTGTCCTAAAGACAACTTGTGGGGAAAACTGGTGGTGACCATCGTCCGAGCCTGGAATCTGTATGGAGATTATGCTGCCGCTGTCCCTACTGATGGGTGAGTAGAGTGAGGTCAGGGACTGACATCTGAAGATGGTATGTCAGACAACAATATTAATTCATCAGTTGCATCACTTGTTTTCTCCTATTCATAGCTATGTTAAGATGTGGTATGGTTCCATGTATCGGCAGACTCATGTAGTTGAGTCAGACAACCCCACGTGGAATGCTCGTTATGATCTTGGCAGGGTGAGTAAATCTTCTCATTACAGAAAAGCTCAAAAGAACACATGAGAAAATAACTTGAATCCCATAAAGCTATGGTCTGATGTAGGCCTACTTTTTGTGCTGTAGACTAGAGTTACTATTCTGTGTGCACCAAGAGAAGTGAAAAGCAATAAATATATATGTAATAGCCTTTATAATAAATAATGATTAGTGGTTATACTAAAGGCCAGTTATGTCAAATTATTTTAAGACTAAAAGAATAATAATAATAATAACTATAATAAATAATAATAATAAGTATATTTTGCGACTCACTTTAGCATTTGCGGAGAAACACAAAGAGAAGTATTGTGTTAGAAGACGCAGACATGGTAGATATGTTTTATAAGCATGGACCAGGTAAAGCAACAGTGAACACACCTGTTGGTGCCAGTGTCATTCGATACCACATTGGTCTCAATTGTTTCAATAGGCTATGTCATAAACAGCAAGCCTACACCACAAGCAGCTCACCTGCCGCTGTGAAAGTGGAACCAGAATATGTCCAAAAAGTACAGAAGCCCTAAGGGGCCATACATTCATACGTTTGAGCCCGACCGATATGGGTTTTTGGGGCCCAATGTCGATATTAAAGTGAAAAAGAGCCGATTTATGAGCCGATATTTTGATTTTGAGAATGATTTGGATAGTGTTGAAATGATATTGTAAGTTTTGGAGACTGATGAAGACTTAACATAGCATGGTTTATTGAGCCCGGTCAATGAGATACAGTGCCAAGTACATGTGAGAAATACCTAAAGCTATAATGTCAAACACTTATGGGATCAGTTAAATTACTCTAAGCTAGACTTGTCTTATCTTTCCCTGTTACATCAATTAAGACACCTAAGAAATATTCTTAACAGATAGTAGACCCATTTACTGTATAAACTACACTTAGAACAGGCCGATATTGAAAGCTGGTATGTCTGTGGGCTATAAAACCTTTTCCTAAATGTATTATGTCAATAAAATAGAATTCTGTCTCAAAAAGTGAACATGTAAACAATTTCACATCAATAAATATTTGCTGCTGGAAGGTGCAACTTCTTCAGCCATCTGTAAACAGAGAGAGTGAGAGAGAATAAGCATGTGTATTTCACTTTACACAAAATCTGCCATAATTGGCGTATGTAGCATATTCATACCTACTTCATCCCTTTACCAGCACTCTTTAATTCTAACCAAATCTACAAGAAACCATTTCTCATCATCGGTATAATTCATGCCCATGTTTGCCCACCAGAGGGCGACCAGCTGCAGCTCCCCTGTTAACTACACTGCCTCGCCACAAAAATCAGAGGAAAAAAATCAGCTGACTGGAGTTTACCAGAGCTTACAGACAGCATAGAAATACGCGGGAGGACTGTGTGAGCGGGGTCAGGGTATCTGTGGATAATCCGTAATTCGTATGTAATACAAAAACGAAAATACCGTTTATTCGTTTTTTGTTTCAAAACGAAAAACCAAATAACCGTTTTTTGTGACAGAATCAAAAAACGAAAAACCAACTAAAAGGGCCCGTTTTTCGTTTTTTGGTCATTCATTTTATCGTTATTCCTTTTGGAACAAATAATGAAGAGAGTCTGTGAACTTCAGTCAATTCGTTTCTCGTTATAAACCAAAAACGGAAGTCACGTGGTCTATTCCTTCTTTGGAAGGGATAGTAACCAGTAAAGCCTTCAAAATCAAAGTAGCCCATGTACCATGCATGTAGTTAGGAAGGTGATTTTAGACTAAAACTAAATTAAAATAACGTTTTTTTAGTAAAACTAAAGTAGCACTGGGTTTAGTTAACTGAAATAAAAACAATAAATAATAAAATGATAACTGTTAAGCTGTTAGGGAGAATTAAACATTTGTAAGACCATTGGTGACCTGTAACTTCAGATTAGGACAATTTAACTAATTTTATATGTAGCTTAGGATCGCAGTTAGCCTGTTTATTTAAGTTTATATTATTTAATTCCTATTTTAGTTTCTGAACACATATAACATATAAGATTTTTAAGCCTTCTTGCTGTGTGTGAGCTCCACCAGCAGAGGGCACTCTGCCCCCTTCTGTGCACGAGTCCTTCTGTGGCGCCAACAAACAACAAGCTTTTGACCTTTTGACTTGTGTTTCTATCACAGAGAAGGCTGCACTGCGACCAGACGAGGCTAATCACTGAGCTTGAAGGGTGTGCAGAACTTCACCTGCCTCCAGCTTCTCTTTCTGTGGAGCTGCTAAAAACTCTCAGCTTCCACCATCTGCTGTTATGTGTCAAAACAAAACTCTTCCAAAACAAATCTATAAAGTTGAATAATTTTTATTTTCCTTTGCATTTTTTCCAGTGTAATGTACTTAGTATGTTAGTTAAGTAGATTAAATATTTTAATGCAGCCTGTAGTTGTCATTAGTTATGTAGGCAGACTTATGTGTGAAGAGCCGGAGGTTGCCGCTTGGTGAAACCTGGTGAGCATTACTGAGAGTCAGAAAGCATCTCCTCTGGCTCTGGGCTTTAAGACTTTTACTGCCTTTCTTGGCTTTAATTCTGATTTGATGAGCCACCAGGGGAAGCTCTGCACTGTTTGAACCCGTGTAAAGTAAAATAAAAGTGAAACTGAGTCCCAAGACAGGTGATGTGAGCCTGTGCAGGTTTGAGGACTGATGATAGTATCAAGGCTGGCCCCATCACCTACCATCACGCTCTGTTCAGATAAATGCTGGACTGTCAGGACAAAGCAGAACACCACTCCTTCCTCCAGCACCAGAGAAGGGCCCTGTTGGCACTTTCACATATTTACATCATGATTTATGGTAACAACAACACCTTGTAACTGTGGCACTGCCTTTGTGCATAAGGAAATGTAAATACATGGTGACCTGTACTAGACCCAGCTCCAACCTGTCCACCCTACCCGGGTCACCCTCCTTTAGGACCAATCACCTTCACCCTCTTTACAGACAGCATCTCACATGTGGAGCCTGATACTTGAGGCTTTCAGCATTACAAGAAAATAATTGTTTCTAAACCATTTACATTGGATTTATTTAAAGGAATTAGAGACAAATCTGCTGTTTCCTTGGTCGTCCTGTCTGTTTCCTGGAGGGTGAGTGTAATATGTGATGGTAACTGGATCGAGTTCATCTTCCTGATCATTTGGTGGGTTCTGTGTTTGTAGCAATTTGTTTTCCAAAGTATGTCCAGGCCTGTCAGTGTGGTTCTGTCTTTATCCCTGCAGACATGCTGCAGCATTAAGACAGTGTGAGGGACGTGTGTGGACAGATTGATTCAATGCTGCATGTTGCTTGTTTTGTGGGACGTTTGATATGTTAAGAGGAAGAGACCTCAGTCCTGCTCTGAGTCTGCTGGTTTGTATCAGATGTGAGAAAATGTCATTAGAAGTTGCTGTTGGTATTCTGTGATGTGACAGAAGGAACAGGTTTTTCTTCTGAATTAATCCAACGCAGGTTAATGTCAGGGGCAACTGGACTTGGTTGAAGAAGATCTTCAACCAAGTCCAGTGAGAATCTTCATAGACTTCTGAATTAATGGCCTAATGTCCAAATAAAGCTCGGTGTCCATCTGACTGATGACTCCTCAGATTGTTACCTGGCAGTAAAGGCTGCTCTGGAGAACACTGAACAATGTGCTCAGACTTTCTCATCTGTTTAGGGGAGTTTGGCCTTTAGTAAAAACTGTTTGTGTATTGAGAGCTAGCTGCTTAATAACTCTGATAAAACTAAATATTAACCGATGGTTCGAGTTTGATAACAAGGCTAGCAGTTTAAATGTAATCTTGTATATCACTGACTTAGTTAGCCTGTGTGGTTATCCATTTTCTTGTTGTGATAGTAGGCTTTCGGCCTGGTAATGCCACAATCTAGTTTCACTAACTCTTAATGCATTGTGTCGCAGTGTGGTCAGGGAGCAGGTTAGGATTTTGGATGGTAGGCCTCGAGGATGATGCATAATTGTTTTAACTTTTGTGTTTTTATAACAGGCATTTTAAGTCACCAAGACCCTGTAGACTGCATGGCCTGTTTTGCTAGAGTTCACCACAGAGGCGGCCGTGGAGGTTGATACACTGAGTTGCCTTAAACATCTGCTCCTTGAATGAGGTGGAGTCAGAGCTGGTGGATGATTTACTGCATTAGTTGTGGGTTGTATAGCCACTGCTGTTTTGTCTGCCTGATCAACTGCTGATTTTTGTGAGACTCTGTTACAGGTGGATGGGCCCTGTGAATGTTTTTGCTAGGTTCTGCTAAGGGTGGGGCAGTTTGCTTTTGTTGGGCTGCGTGACTTCCCTCAGCCCTTCTCCCTCTTCTTCCAGTGTTCTGACAGGGTGGTGGACTGTGGTGGACTGTGGGAGCCCCTCTTCCCTTCACTGCATGTCGTGGTGTGTGTATATGACAGCTGTGTGCGGACCTTTAACTGAGCCGTGTGGTGTTTTATGTGTGTGACTTGCTGTCTTTAGTGGTGGCGCACACCTGTGGGTGGTGGTGTCACAGCATCCTGGTGGCAATTTTGCTTTGGTAACAGTTTGCTTTTATCCTTTAGCATCTCTGCAGCATTGGCCTTAACATCTTGTTGGTTTATTGTTTGAGCTTGTGTAGTTAATAAAATTGCCCAAAACCTGATCTTTAAATTTTGATGTTTCATAAATCACCTTTCCAGTCGAAATGCAAGTCTCTCTGGTAAAGAGATGCTCTGTAAAAAAATAAATAAATAAAATCCAATGGGTTAAAATGAGACATTATATCATGGATCTGTTCCCAAGCTTGCTTATTTGCTTGTAGCGCTATGCTAACCTTTCTCCTAAGGAGGACAGTAGTCCAAAAACGTTCAAGTAGCACAGAATTAATTTATAACGATATTATATACATATTTATAATATGCCTGAGCTCGTTCTCTTCGTGTGCAATGACAATTTTATGATGTGAAGACTACTGGATCTGAACGCTCGACATGGGCCTCCAAATGTTAAAGCTTTTTAAC